CTCAGTTAAAAACTAATCTCAGTTTTATGAGCTGTCATAGCAGCTCAAGTGGTTTGGACCAGCTGAGTTTAGAACATTATATTTCCTTGTTTTTCTCTTAGATACTTCTGTAGGAAGTTTTATAGTTTCCCCCTCCCTTTTAAAAACACAACAACAAAAATCTCTTTTCTTTTAGTTGAAACTGAGAATGTAACCACTAAACTTATTAAAGCAGGTAGGTCTTCATTTGCACATTCCTTTCTCATTTACTACAAAATAATATTTTATTCTTAGATTTATTTGACAATATAAATTTAATAATTCATCTACAATCTGTACAATTCCTATTCAAAATAAGTGCAAACCAGTTTACACAGCCCATATGGCCTGTATCTGAGGAATAAGCTATTTGTAATCACACATCTGGAATGACTGTAGGCAATATGGAGAAAATGGGTATTAATTAATGCCACAGTTAAAAACCTATGGGCTCTAAGTTCTAGCTGTTTTTAAAGAACCTATTTAAGAAAAATGATCTAGCTTAATATTTTAGTAAGAAAAATAACACTGGTTTATAAATACATAAATCACATCAAAACACTGATGGGCTAGAATGACTCTACCTTAAATTAGGAAATCTCCCTGAGTTAAAATAAGCTAGTCTACTTCCTTTTAATGTTTCAGAGGTGTGGTTATCAACTATTTGATGAGCATACTTTTGTTATTTTTATTAGTGTACGAATAGGTCACTAGAAAAGCCATTTGCATTCTCAATCTTGCTACCTTTAGATTTTTTTTATAGTTACTAGACAAAATATATAAGAGCAATCATCTTGGCCTAAAAACTTTTGATTTACTGTTTTAATTAACAACTAATTTTTATATCTGTACAGTCAACAAAAACAGACTATATGTGAAAATATATGAATTTGGATAATCACTCTTAAATGGTAGTGATATAATTAACTTCCTGCCATGATTGGGTTAGCTCTCTATATCATTTCTTCTAGCACAAAGCTACACCATAATCAATGTGTCAACATTTTTATAGGATCTAATCATATTCAGATTACTTTATTTATAGACTGATTTTTGCCTGAATTTCTTCCCCTAAAAGAAAGTTCTAATAAAGTGACAATAAATTTGGATTTCTTTGGGAGTATTTTTGGGTGTTATAGACAGCTAATTATGAGCATACCTCCAAAAACTGCTCGAAGTACCAGGTACAAAATAGTATTAAACTGATGAAAGCAGTTCTGTCATCAACTTCTTTTGCTTCTAAATTTCTCAATGCAAGTAAGTAACTGGAAACTACTTTTCCAAGTCAGAAAGTAAAACTTCTTTAGAATAAAACATCTCCCCAAGATTCTAGGATTTTAAGCACTGACTTTTGGTTTGTACTTCTGAATTTCAGTAAAGTTTACAATTGCAAATGTTGATGTGTGATAATCTAATAAAATCTGTCCTTAAAGGTTATAGGCCCAATTTACTAATATAACCTAATTCAATTATCCTTGGGAAATGTAAATTATCAGTGTACAAGTAGTGCAACTAAATATCCTTGCCTTTTCAATTCTAGAAAAAAAGCTGTCTCCATAAAAAGTCTAAACAAGACAAAATAAAACTAACATATAATCAACCTATGGATTAATTCATGGGCACAAAACAATGGCACCATGCAGGCAAATATTTACATTGGTTAATTAGCTGAATAAATGATTTGCATGAGGCATTTACCCTTTATGACTGAGATAATCCTACTCGTTTCATTGTCATTTTTTATACAACTGGATTTAATCTAAAGAAAATTTAGTGGACTAACTACTTAAAAGAGTTTAATGGTAGTGAACTAATTATAATTACTTACGTGTTAATACACAGCAGTGTGCCTCCAAGCAAATCTGAAGTACTAATGTATGGTAAACCATGTCAAATGTATTTATGCAAAATTGGTACACCATTTAAGCTACTTATCTTACTCTGAATTTTAATAACATTTAATCCAAACTTTCTAAACCATAATACACTGATAGACATACCTGCTTGTCATCTAGAGGTGGTTAACCCAAGCTTAAAGGCTTCACTCTTTAATTAGCTACTTGGTTAGTCCTTTAAAAATGTCTGGGCCTGAATTTCCACACTGTTAAAATAGGGACAGTGGTTGCTTTTGCACCATCTACCACACACACGTTAATGATCAAATGCAATATATGAAGGTATGAGGCTTAGGTCAATGCAGATATTAGTCTCTGTATATTTAGATTTGGACTTTTTAAATGCATTAAACATTTTATTCTTGGATTTTTTAGATACTACACTAAGATATTCCATCTTAAAAAATAACTGGTGAAACTATTATGGGAGTATTCAGAAAGAAAAATGAAACTTCATGTAAAGATTATATAAGAGCAAGAGCCTCATGCTTCTATTTCATTTGATTTTCTCTGTTTTGTTACATAGTGATTGCCATTTACATTCTGTTTTTCACTCTACTTCATTAGTGAGCTCTAATTTAACTCTACTTCATTAGTGAACTCTAATTTACCTCTACTTCATCTCATGAAGATGGGAAGAATTTAAAATTATTTCTATTGGTTAAAACTAGGTATAGATTTGCCTTTGCTCCAAGCCTTGAAATGGATGTTTACACATGCTAAAATGTCATTTGCATAAATGAACATACATTTTATAATAACTTTAAAATAAAATGGTACACAGATCTGGATATTTTTAGATTGAATGATATACCCTGCTTGAAATGGAGCAACTTTTAAAAGTAAACAGGCTATTGTCTTGTTACCAAACTCTGGTGTTATAAAGAGGTTCTACTGTATGTATTTTAAGCATGGTTTAAACAAACTTCCGTTTAAACTAAGAGCAACTCAAGCAAGTATCCTAACCTAAATCCAGTTAAGAGCAAGTATTAGGAACCTAAGTGAATGTGCATGTGAAGGACAAAGAATAAAGAGTAGATGTAGAAAGTACTTTGCACAGACAAAATGCTTAATAAGTGTTTGTTATTCAGTAATATATATTGTTTAACAATGTGCTTGTTTTAAAGTAAAAATGTTTGCAGATTGAGAGTAAGTCAACAAATCTGGTACCAAAATGTGTTAACACATGCAAATGAAAATAAATGGATTGCCAAATACTCAACCATGCTTTTGTATTACCAGAATTACAGACGTGGCAGTGGTATATCTAACTTTATGCTGTGAAAACATCATACAAGGGAAGTTTTAATATAGAGGAAATGAATTAAAAGGATCTCCTTGGTCAACTCTTAAAAAAGTGAAGAATGTTCTTATTGCTAAGTGTATCTACTTTGACCTTCACATGTAGATTTCACTTAGAACTCTAGTACAGTATAAACTTGGCAAAATCTTGTGGAAAAGAGTGTGTTGAAAAATTAATTCTACATATACATATACCCCATTACACTTAGTATTACTTGAATTGTTTGATAATAACAACTTCTTTATCCAGTCTTTGTTTTTACCTTTGAATACTTCATACAGATGACATTAAAAAATGAAGTAAATGAGTTGAAATGGACAATTTGAGGCACTTGTTCTGCATAATCAAATGCCTTCCACAAAAGTTTTATCGACTTAAATTCCCAGCTGTATGAGTATTTCTTTGCTTTAATGTGTGGGTAGTAGCATTAAAAAAATCTTTATGATTGGTGAAAAGGGTATCTGGTTACTTTACTTTGTGACTACCCTGTCTAGAAAAATTACTAAAGTGAGGAGAACTTTGCTTTAAAGCTTTCATGTAACTGGGTACAGTAATGCCTATAATCCTAGCTAGTACTTTGGGAGGTTGAGGCAGGAGGAGCCCAAATTCAAGATTAGCCAGGGTACCTTAGTGAGGCCCTGTCTCAAAAATAAAAAGGACTGGGAATGTACCTCAGTGAAAAGCCCAGTATTCCTAGTATTGCCCCCACCTCCAAAAAAAGCCCTTATGCAGCATGTTTTCTGCTGAGAAAAAACTAATAGAAGAGACATTCACAAAATAAAAAAAAAGCAATGATTATCTGATAGAAATTTAATAACATTAAAGCAATGTTTTATTTATTTATTTATTTATTTGTTTTTTTTTGGTTTTTCTCCTGTACCAGGAACCGAACTCACGACCTTGCGCTTGCCAGGCAGGCGCTTTGCCGCTGAGCTAAATCCCAAGTCCCAATGTTTTATTTTTTAAAAGCAATGTTTTAGTGATGATCTTTAAAAGAGTTTATAAGCATTTGCCAATTAATTTAGTTTTCACAATGCTGAACAAATTGTTAGTCTCAGTGTCTATCAAAGGAAATGTTTTGAGGAGGTCCTTTTAACTTTTCTTAGAACTTCCCACGTAATTTCTATAATGCTGTTATAGTAGTAAAGATCACTATCATTTAACTACCATGGGTTGGAACAAATGAAGAGAATTTCAGTTATCAATTAAAAAGTGGTAAAAGATTTATCCAAAACAGAATTTTGTAGGCATACTTATTTTCATCACAACATTAATAGAATTTCTTTGGTGAAATTAAGGGTTGTAATGTGGACAATCTGATTTCTTTTTTGAATAACTGTTATAAACTAAACTCAGAATATGTAATCTTAATACTATATACTTCTGTAAATACTACATAATGCCTTCTAGATAGAACATGAAGTTTTGAGATTCTTCTTCTCAAGTGAAAAAACTGTAAGCCATATAGCTGAGTATAATTAGTGCTTTAATGAAAAAAATAAGTCTTAATTTTACAGGGAAAATCTTAGCCACAGGAAAAATCAAATATTGAAAAATTCAAATGGAAGTTTCTTTTTTGAAACAAACTTTCACTAAGTTGCCAGGCTGGCCTCAAACTCCCGATCCTTCTGCCTCAAACTGCTGAGTAGCTGTGATTATAGGCACTCAACACTACGACCAACAAAAGATTATTTTTATAATAAGAAATAATTTATTAATTCTATTCAGCATGATATTTCAAAGTCCAACAAATTGATTTAATCTTTGAAAAAATGAGATGAGAATGAAAAGCATATTATGTATAATAGTAAATTTAATGCACAAAAAGGTAATAACTAAAGTACTCGAAGAAAGGAAAAAAAACCCCAGGGTATAACATACACATAGAAAATGAAACTGTATGAATCAGACAGCTCAGATAACGCACACATCCAGTTCATCTTTGACCTCAGTGAAACGGTCAGTAAATGACATCACTCTGCCAACCACCAAGAATGTTAGTCTCTCTGAAAAATGTTTTTCAAAGACCCAAGGAAACCTAAGCAGTCTCTGCAATTTTTTCCAGTTTATGAAAATTGGATTCCTATAAAAGGAAAATGGACCATTTTTACTGCAACAAAAACTGATTTGTAAAAGCTGGAAGCAGTTTAAAAATACTCAACATGAGGTTCTTGTTAGTCTTGAAAAGTAAGAGTTATAATAAAAAATGGTCCAAAAATATGGTACAGATTCATGGTACATAACAGGAAAAAAGCTAGTCTTGCTATTATTTTTAATTAGCTTCAATAGCAAGTTCCACTTTACTTTCTAACACCAGTTGAGATTTGGGGAGGGGGAGATTTACATTTGACTCTCTGGGATTGGCAACTCCTCAGCTAATGCCTTGGAGCCCTAATGCATTTTGCATTAGCTCTAAATGTCGGGAAATCCTGGCGCCAAGGGATTCAAACCAATAGCGATGCATGTCTAAGACCCAGGATTCGCTGTCCAACTGCCAGTATCTATTTTATCAAACATTCAGTCTCTCTTGTAAAATGAGATTGATGAGTTTAGCAGTTTTCACTGTTTCCAATTAAACTGCCTTGATATATTACAAAAATGCAGGCATGCAGATTGAGAAGGGCCATTCACTTGGATTTTAAGAAAAACACCAATTTGAACTGTTTAAACACTTCTCTCAATCTGTCTTAGTTTTTCGGATTTGAACACATTTGACATTAGGAAAAAATAATTTCTTTGAACAATTAAAAAACCGTCGTGACATTCAAATCAGCAGTTGTAGGAATTTGGGGTCACCTATTTTATATCGATTCACTCACACTGAAATGTTTAAAAAACAACAAAGAGCTCTCCAAAGAGCCCTGAGAGCTACGTGAAGAGCATGCCACTTGGCCCTGTCACACAACCTATTCTCCATTTCATCTCACATACCATTGCCACTCAAATCATTTCAATAGTAATGATAGAAATTCACTGTTTATACATTAACCATTTATATCTTTTCCCCACATAACAGCCATGCTTTTTTACCAAAGACATATGATAAAGAAGCAAGGAAAGAACGTGTAAGTCATCTGAACCTCTTCTGCGATTCAAGTAGGAAAAAACAAAACCTAAAAGAAAAAACCTCTCAATATCTAATACTTCCTCTTTTTAAAGGTATTTAGAGAATCAGTTTTTCAGTATTTTAAATTCAACTGAGGCATTACTTTTTCAGCTATCCTAAAGTCTTTATGGTGTCCATAAAATCTTATTTTTATCTTTACAGCAGAGATAAATAGGAATCACTAACTTCTGTTTAATTAACTTAACATTTCTTGGAAAAATTAAATATTAAAACATTTGAGTAATTTAAAATCTGTTAAAATGAAAAATCTCAACAGCAGTGGTTTGAGTCAATGTTATTAACTAATTTTAAATTTACCTACTATATATCAGAAGCTGAAAGGTTCTAGTTTAAAATTTTACATATGGACATCAGCGAAATGATACAAAATATGTGAATAATTATGAAGCAACTTAAAATATTTAAGTCTCTGCAGAATTAAAAAATATGCTAGATCCATGAATTGTTAGTATCAAGGGAGTCTTCACTAGCCAAAAATGACTGAATAAATGAAAAAATAATTCCAATGCAGATCAATAAAACAAAATGTATAAACAGTATGTATCTTTGGTTACACTGTATCCTCCATATCTCTGCTGATACAATTGAACTATTAGTTTGATCTATTACCCACAAACACTTGAGTAAACTAATTGTAAATTTAAATTATCCTGGAAATAAAAAAAGAATAAGTAACAGTTACAAGAGTTAAAGCCTCAAAAGTGAGATGAAGGACTTAACTTTCTCAGAGGAAGATCTTTTTAAAGGATAATTTTCAAAACAAAATGATTATGTTAAATATATTACTCCTTAGATTTGAAAAATAATCTGTTTTATTAACTAATCCTTTAAGTGAATATTACCTTGATATGTCTTTTATGAAGTAAAAGAAGCTATTTAAATAGTTTTACCCTTGAAAATGAAGTGAAGGTTCACAAAAGATGTTCTCAAAGTAATTGAAAATAATTATTAACAGAACTGAGAAAATTCTGACTTTTTGGACCTAATTCTTAACTTAGTCACTATTAGTCACTAAAATGAACCTCTGAAAACATTTTCATTATTTTATAAAATGATCATTTTCAAAAGCCCCAAATGAAAGATTTTCCTCAATTGGGCTCATAAGGTTATTCTGTATATTCAATTTTAGTAGTTTCTTTAAAGTCACATAATTATATAAAAAATAAAAGCAAGTCTTCCTCACATAAGTGATGCATACATTAGTAGCAGTCTACTTTCTTTAGATTGGCAGTATCTGCAACAAATAAAAAAATGCTTTGTTTATAGTGAAACCAAATAATAATTATAATGAAAGAATAATTAATTAAGCAAGTCTTTGATATAAATATTAGGATCAAATTTCCAAATCATTTCTTCCTTTTTCAATTATGTTTCTGAAAACATTTGTACAGTGGAATTGCCACATGATATAGCAGTTATAATGATTAAACAGAGCCTCTATTTAAATAATTATACCTAATATAGCCAGAAGCATCAAAAGTAATCAAAAGCCATATGCTTTCTAGCATTTAACCATGGCTAGCTTTTATTCCTGAGGCAAGGAATTTCTTACTACGACAATCTAGCATACCAAAAAAACTATTTCTAACTATTATTTATTGAAAGTCTATTATAGAACACTGAACTATGCATTTCATGTAATACTGTTTTTCCACTACTTTTTAAAGCTTTGAGTCATGATTGTCAGTCAGTTGTGAAACCAGCTTAGTAGGTTGGATCTATATTTAACAAATGAAATAGAGCAAAAGAAAATATCATAGTGCCTTACAGGTAGTAAGAGTATCATTCTAAGGCATTTTATTTTACATATACAGGTGGATACATATATGTGAATAAAAATGTGTGTATACACTAGGTTGCCATATTTCTTCCTTTTTCTTTTTTTTTTATAGTGCTGAGGATCATACCCAGGGCCTTGTACACGCTAAGCAAATGTTCTAGCACTGAGCTACATCCTCAGCCTTGAAAGGAGTTTCTTTTAATGTGAATAGAGGTTATAAATGCTTAAAAATCATGATAGAATGTTTTGTCCCCCCGTCCCCCAAGTTAGGAGCACATTATACTGGAAACAACATAAGTTTGGGTGATATAGACCTAAGACTATATTTTCACTCTATTTGATTGAGCTGGTTACTTAAATTTAAATTTTTTGTGGCTTGACTACAAAACAGACATATTTCTTAGTTTAAGATTTTTTGGTGAGGTTAAAATAAAAATAAATATTTGTAAAACTGATTATATATAATAGATAATAATGGTTATAGCAATTATAATTAAAATTGAATTAAAATATCTTATTTTAAGTGATCATTAAGAGTTGTAATGTGTTGACTGCAACTATATTCATTTAAAAATATATAAGCTACCTCTTAAATAGAAAATAGTTTATTATAATGAAAAATAGGATTTTAGAAGCAGAAATTAAACAGTAATTTAAATAAACAGTTTTAAGAGAAAATAAGATTATTCCTATTCACAGAACTAGATTAGTATGAAGTTTCAATAGTCAGCCTAAATTAAAATACTGCATATCTATGAATGGAATAAAGAAGAAAATATTACTTGTGATTTTTGGCAAGATTTAAAAAATCTATATACCACCATTAGTAATAAAGCTGTATTATCTGCTATAGGGAATTTTATGTAGAACGATGCCAGCCTGTCAGATTTTTTTCCCTTAAATATTTTACTTGAATGCCATCTCTTATAGAAAAAATTCAACTAAATCAAAGCATCAACTTTTTAAAACAGTGATATTTAAATAGTCATTAAAATAAATGTGTTGTATTCTTATATTGGCTTTGGAAGGTACTCAGAAAACAATCTGTATTCACTAACTTGGCATCAGCATTGTCTGTTTCAATAGACAGTTCATATTTTTCAAAGTGATGTTTTTAAGATTTGTGATTCCATTTTTTTTAGACATAAGAATATGACTTCAGAAATTAATTTAAAATCATGCATGTTATTGAAAAGATTGAGATTTTTTTCTTAATGAAAAAGAGAAATGAGGAGTGAAGAAAATTCCAGCTTTTCAAAAACAAGAAACATCACACATCGTATTTTTCTTGGAAGACTGTTTACCTGCCAGGAAATGAATGCTGTCCAACTACATCTCCATTCTGAAGGTGATAATCATTGAAGAAATCTGGACTTATGGCTCCTTCAGTGGCAATTAATCCATCTAGCAAGAAAGAAAATGGTAACAAGGTGAAACATATTTGTGGAGAATAAAAAGTAATCTACCCTACCAAGCAACACATGGAGGTTATTCTCATATGAATAAGAAGAAAAATCTTAACAGTAAGAAAATAATCTATACATTTAATCTGGAAAGAAGAAAAATTGGGATGACATGTTGTTTTCTGTGGGAGTAGTCCTAGAGGACCATACGTACTTAAGTATTTTGTTGACAATTCAGCACAATAATTCAACATTTATTAAGCATCTACTATGTGCCAGATAATACTACAACAGAGATGGCAGAGACAGTGTCTTCAAGAAGCTTACAGTATTGTAGAAAAGGAAAAAAAGGTAAGGAGATGAGGTGAGGTGGGGTGGTGAGGCGATAGTAACCATGGGCCAGGCTAAGAAAGAAAGCAAGCATGAATAGCAGCAGAAAGGCATGAATACCATAATGTGGATAAAGAGCAACACTTTAGGGCAGTGGTGGCAAACAAAAGGATCACTATTGCTGCTTCGAAGTACACTATACATTCTGTACCAGGCTTGTTTATGATGATTAGGGAATTAGATACATAAAATAAGTAAATTGCTAAATAAACAGTGTCTGACAATTTAAATCCCAAATGTTAACACACTCACACATGAACTAATGTTAAAAGCTAGATAACTTATTTTTAATAGAATTATGAATAAAACTAAAAATAGAATGAGGAAAAAATGATGGTTTACAAGATGTCCCATGTATGGAGCAAATATTTTAGTATAATGCTTTTATAATAACTAGTTGCATGGCTTTGAAGTCTTATATATGTCTGTTTTTAAAGTTTTTAGTTTCTTAAGATAACAATAAAATAATTTACACTGAGTGGATATATGTACTAAATGATGGTGAAGGCAATAAAAGCTCTGGAGGGATTACTATATAGGGGTTAGAAAAGCCTATTTGGGAAGGGGAGGCAGAACTGTAATTGATTTAGGTCTTGAAAGACAGGTAGAATTAAATAAAATCTGTGACTGGTGAAATCAAGTAAATGGTAAAACTAAGTAATGGAAGGGCAAATAATTAAGTGAAGTAATTAGTATTTCCATAGGATCCTATGTACCTTGCTTGGTACACTTATTCATGGGTGACACACCGTTTATTAATTACTTGAATTACTATTTAATTTTTGTACTACTATTTAATTTTTGTATTATTAATGGATTTCTTTAATATTTGTCTTATTGGTTTATTAAATTTAAGACACTTGAGTTTCCACTGAAAGTGCCAGTGATATTTAGTTCAGTTTTAGTGGACGCTAGAAGATAGATTCTATAAATCTAAAGACCAGCTAAATACAGAATAGATACAAAAAAAAAAGAAATCATAGCAGATTGAACATAAGCTAAAAAATTTCTTTAAATCAATTCTATATGCATAATAAATTTTGTGATAAGGTGGCTGAAATCAGTAAGGTTAGGTTTGAAAATATCAACAAGTTATTCTGTTAAACTAAAATGAAATAACTGAGGATCAGGGCTTAAGAAACCTGCCAGTGTTGAAGAAAAAAAGTAAAACACTAAAATAAAATGTATGCCACACTTTCAAAAAGAAGGCAAAGATGTTTGTTATGTCATACATAAAACATTTCAGCACTCAGGAATATAAAGTTTCAGATATACTAAACACAACTAAATGAACAGATACTTACACAGGAGTTTGAATTTAAAAATAAGATCTAGTAAAGTGAGGCATACTAATTTTATTAAATTTTATTAAAAACTGATCAAATTCTCAAAATTTTATTTTTGATTCAGAGCTCCCACTGTCTTCAAAGGGAACAAGGGGCAGCAAGAGGACAAGCAGAATACAGGACTGCAAATTGAATTCAAACTAAAAATTCTTAAACTGAAAAGTTCAGCCAGAAATTTTATATACACAGAATATAAGTAATTTAAAAATAATATAATTTAAATATTAGGTAATTAAGAAAGAGTAAATGAATACTTCTTAAAATCACTTGTAGTAATGTTAGGGCAGTGCAATTGATTTGAAATAAACTATAGTTTCTATAATGCTCCTTATGGCTTGAGAAAAGGTGGCAGCTCTGACAAACTGAGAACTCTGTCTTCACTAGAATGAGGTATAAAAGGTCCATGAAAGTCTCATCCCAATTCTCTGTACTGTACAACCAATATTATTTATTTTAGGGAAGTACTAAAAAAGAATCGTATTTTCTTGATTATAAAATTCAGATCAAGCTAGGAGTGTCCTCCTTAAGCTCTTTGTTGCTTCAAAGAGCAATAAGGAACCAAAGAATTTCATGGACAGAGAACAAACAGAAAACAGAGATGAAAAATATCACAGCACTCTAAGCTGTACAGTTTCACATTTAGGTTATTAAATTATATGGAACTGTTTAGTTATATAATACTACACGTCATAGTTATGTAACATACCTTTCTGTGAGGCTTTAAACAATAATAAAGATAGTTATACACAAATGGAGCATATACTAGAAGTGATGATATCAGAGCAAATCTATCAACCCTCAGAATTCTGGAAGCCAGTTAAAAAAGTTACCTTATAAACACTGTAAAACAAAAACTCTGTATCTTCTTATACAATGTTACTGAAAGAAACTTTTATAAACTATGGTTTTTAAATGCTCTTGAGACAGAAACAAATCATATTAAGTTTTATATTCCAAGAATATTTCCACATATTAAGAACAGGAGTCCTCATAATTGATGATGAACAATAAGAAAGTGAAAAGTCACTTAGAAATGTACAGCAGCAATAGAACTTTATAAATTATACTTCCTGTATGGATAAAAAGTACCAAAGTACCCAACTTTATTTTCATGTTAAAGAAAAATTAATCAATGGTTACAATAATAATGATTTCAGGCTCTAAGAAAACAATACTGTAAAGGAGGTGCTAGCTCTGTAACATTACCATTCTTCTTAAAAAATTAAAATAGCAAAAAAAAAAAATTAGAAAATCCATTTTATTTTAAAATAAAAGATAAGATCCAGAGAATCATTTAGTTTAAATCCTGTGGCTGAAAAGTGACTAAGGCTCTTTTTACTGGAAGTAGCCTGAAGTTTCAAAGAGGCTCAGAAGCATAAATAAATGACATAAGCATTCAAATTAATATGTAGTAATTACAAATTCATCTGATAATTCTAGGCCACAATAGAACACAGTACAAAAAGGGGCTCCTATTATCTAGATCTCCATGAGACACATTAAGAAATGAGACAGAGATACATTTAGCCCATGGATTTCATAGAAAATGACAAGGGAAAATAATATATAAGCTAAAAAATATAGACAGCTGCCATGAGAAAGCAATCTATAAACTCTATAGAATGAAATTTCTGCTGTTGAATATGTATAATATCAGACTTTACATATTCTAAAAAAAAGAGACAATCTAGTAATATTTCACCACACAAATATTTAAATTTATTTTCCCATCAGTTACTGCTATTTTCTAAATTGTGGTATATAAAAATATAATTTAGTTTTTTCAAAAGAAGTATAACAACACATTTTAAAGTAACTCAAAAATATAATTTTCATTTAAGAGGTTAATTTAAATGAATTAAACTTAGAAACATGCTAATAACTTTAATACAATTAGATTTTTGAAAGATTTTTAAACAACAAAGTTGAAACTATTAACTGATGCGGTTAACAGTTTTACTCAGTTTTAGAAACTGGTTATTGATTCGTGCTGACAGGTACTTATCAATTTTCAAAGTAAGGAAATTGATTCTAAGACTATTCTGATACCTACCAACAAAAAATCCACATCATATATATTTTATATCATTTTACTTCATGAATACTAAATATGTAAGGAACAGCTGCTTGCCATTACCGAACTAAGAAATTCTGGTTGGCTGAAATTAATGATTTATTCCAGCTGTTTTGAAACACAAAGCAGAATTTCATAACTACTGTAAAGTTCAGTTAGGAAGAAATATATTCAATTTTCAAAGTAAAGCATGAACTTTCCAGGATTTAAGCACCTATATCAAATACAAAAGTATGTATTTATGGTAAATTTGTACAATTCAGAATTATGAAAACATATGAAAATGTGAATAGTTTTATTGGTCAGAAGGGGTGCTAATTAGTGATTTTATGTAATAATTTATATAATCAACCATTGATCACAAAGAAATTGTTCTGACAAAATGAGATAATACATGTAAAACACTTAAACAGAGTAAGACTATTTAATAAATATATGGTAGGAAAAAAGGGGTGAGCCATTTCAGATATAATTTAATGCTCTTTTTTTTCCTGTGGTGCTGGGGATCAAACTCAGGGCTTCACATGCGGTAGGTAGGTACTTCAGTAATGAACTATAATCCCAGCCTCAATGCCTTTTATTTAGAACCTTCCACAAATTTTCATTAGAAATCCTTTTCTTTCTCAACCAAAAGACTTCAATAGAGTAATTAACACAGGCAACAGAACAAAACACCAAAAGCCAAAATATATAAAATTTATCAATATGTGTGCCAAATTCATTTATTAAAAAGAGTGATATGGTATAATCAACAGTCATAATATATGTACACACTAAATTTTACCTTGAAAACATTTGCAGAATTTAGAAGGAAAAAACTATTCCTACCAAGTATCTGAATCTTTCCTACAATCACCAAATAGTTGGTAGTATGAAACTAAAGCAAAATTATAGCAAAATTAAACTGTTAAATTTAAAAACACAGGAAAACAAAGCATAAATCTTGAGGATATCCACTGAAATGACACATTCTAGGAAGTAAGAAACTAAGAGCAATTAATTTTCCTGGCTGTATACTTTTTAATGGAGATCACATTAAAGATTAACTGGGGAATTAATACACGTTGTTGGTGTGTACAGATACTATGTTTGAAATTACTAGCAGAAACCTATTTGTACACTAAAAGAAGTGTTTAGACGCCAGGGATGTGGCTCAGCGGCACAAGCGCCTGCCTGGCAAGCGTAAGGTCCTGAGTTCGATTCCCGGTACAAAAAAAAAGAAGTGTTTAGAAAGTTTGGGAATGTCAAGGTTGCGAGGCCAAAATTCCTACACAGCATAAAGGCAAATTTTTGCTGGGTTACTACCTTACCTGGGCTGTAGAAAAGGTCAGGTCTTTCTAGAATATCTCCTTCATGGATATATGGCTCAATTCGATCATCACCATACAAGTACTGCTCACTCTCATCCATTTGACGACTCTCTACCATCTCCAGCCACTGAGAGTTATGCCAGCAAAACTTTTCTCTCTGAATTTTCTTTGCCCATTCATCATCATACTCCTATTAAAAACAAACAGCTAACTGTTAGTATACAGTGTAAATTTACTTACTGGTACTTAGGTAGGAACAGTTTCATGAAGACAGAATTTTAAGAGCCTTCATTTGGTTCATAGGGAACATTAACATGACCTCTTGATATATTTTTTAGTTTAGATAACAGTGAGGAAGGAGAAGCATTGTTAAAGCACTGCTTAACTGGTCTACTACAGAAAACAAATAGCATCTGATTTTGTTTCAACCACAAAATAATGACCTCTTAATTATAAAACTATTTCTTTAAGTGTCTATTCTTGTTCTGACCATGAGCTCCTGAGAAGTAACTATGACTTATTCACGAACAAGTGTATCTGTAACACTTGTCACAGAGAAAGTTCTTGGTGAATTTTTTTGAAAGACAAATGGGCCAATTATTATAAACTACAGCAGTTCCTTATATCTCTACTTGTCCCCTGGGTATAGGAACTTTATTTTTCAAAATTTTCTATTAACAGAAACATAAAATTGTGCCCATTTAAAGGGTACTACATGATATTTTGATATGTATATGTATTGTATAAACCTTTAAATTACACATATCTTCTTGAACACCATTTCTTTATGGTGAAACTCCTTTCTCCTAGCTTTTGGAAATATGCAATATCTTATTGTTACCTATAGTAATCTTATTGTGGATCAGTACACCAGAACTCACTCCTACCTCTCACTGAACACAATCTTGCCCTACCATTCACCTCCCTGCAGCCACCATCTAGTCTTAATTTCTAGGAGATAATTGTTTTGTATTTCACACATGAGATTATGCAGCAGTTGTCTGTGATTGGCTTTTTGTCAGACTATTCACAAAGGTATGATCACTTCTCCTTATGATTAAATTATAACTATTAAGGTAAAACATTTAATGCACAAACAAAAAGCAAAATGGTATTCTGGAGAAGAAACTGAAAAGACTTAACTTTTTCCTAAAAGATGAATGAGTCACAGGTCACCCAAACTCCAAGAATGTCTTAAAATGTCAGAAATCTTAATCTATAAGATGACTGGTAATAATTTTACTGTGTTTTGCTTGTTTTAAGAGTAGCAGCTTGTTTAACTGGCAAGAGGTATAAAACTATTCATACTGGCAAAAAAATTAAAAATCTGAATTACCTGAATAAAAAGTTATTCAGGGAAAATGAAAGAAAACTGTATGATCAAATAGCTCTAGAACTTAGCTTCCAAGCATATCATTTCCTAGTATAAAAATAGTATTAAAATTCAGTCGAATGCCCGAAGTATATAAAATGCTTGTTCTTCCAATGAATAAAACTTGTAGCCAAGTACGATGGTGCACATCTATAATTCCAGCCAGTGGGAGGCTGCAGCAGGAGAATGACAAGTTCAAGCCCAGCCTGGGCAATTTAGCAATACCTTGCCTTAAAAAATAAAAAAGAGCTGGTGATATGACTCAGTAGAAAGGCCCTGGGTTCAACTCCTGGTACCATTAAAGAAAATAAAGATTAAAACTTGCTCACAATAATACCTGTGAAATGCTACCAATGAAGGTAAAAAATAAATTCTCAAGATACATATACCTAACATGTATTTAGCCTGGTAAGTAATGCTCTGTATAAAGAAAATTTTGAACTCACTATGTAGGCCAGGATGGCCTCAAACTTGCGGAGACACTCCTGCCTCAGTTTCCAGAGTGCTGCGGTTACAGGCTACCACATCTGGCTGTGAATTATCTTCTACCCTTTTTAATATTTTCATATTTAATAGCTCAACAATAACAGAAACACATACAATGTAGAAATGTGTAAGCAAGATGTTTCTTCACAAATAGACCATTTAGTAACTCAGCTTTATTACCTTAGGAGCTCACAAGAATATTTTTATAATGAACTTACATACATAAAACTTTTCTTTTTCCTTTTCGAAAGAGCTTATCTGACAAAAGTCCAAGCACACAAAGCAAATACAACCCTGAGCATCCACAGCTAACTTCTGACATGCCCTTGACAAAGCTCTAAGACACTGAGAGTTCGGACGGAATCTAGCACCACATATAACACAACCACCCTATGCATTGCTTTAAAAGATTCCCTTTATTGTATCAGATGATGATGGGATTATTCTATGGACCCAGTGTATTTACTTTTTACGAAAAAACCCCAAAATTTCATAATCAAATAATAAAATAACAATACACATTAAAATAACAATTGCACATTTCTATTATTATACTGTGTATTATCATCTTCAAAGTAATTAACTCAGAGTGCAAGACATTACAAGGCCAAAAAGTATATAGCAATGATATTGCTGCACTATCATTTGTCCTTTAAAAAGAATTTTATTTTAATGATTATTTAAAGTAATGGCACTAGAAAACAATAGATTTAATTTCTATGCCAGAAATAATGATTACCAAGTACATTATTGCTTATAGGATTACAATGAAGACATTACAGTTGTTTTCTCACCTCTTTGAATAAAACAAAAAGTTTTCCCTCAGGAAATGACAAAATGTTGTTCTATACCAGACTGTGTTACCACTTACTATACTCACAATTGTGTCTTACGGAAGATCCAATAACATTTAAGGACTCCTACTACAATGAATACACTGCAGTGAGGGCCAAGCAGGGCTCAGAGTGCCTCTGAGCTCTCATAGATAGGTATGGTTCTTTGTTATGGATCACAGGTTAAGACGGCTAAAACTCTGATTGAATAGTATGAAGACCTTGAAGGTTCTTCTTTTAAAAATCTTAAATTTATAACATGACATTGTGAAAATATTATTTGCATTTTTATAATTATAAAAGTTATATGTTCACTGTTGAAATGGGAAATGATAGAAAATACTTATAACACCCTTATTTGGGTCAAATCACCATAAATCATCATACATCCCAGCAGTTTGAAAATGATCTTCTACATTCCAATATTAACTGCTAGCTTTGAAAAAATACATATACACTTTTATTTTTTGATAGAGGGTCTCCCATGTAGTTCAAGCTCAAACTTGCAATGATCCTTCCGCTTCAGCCTCCTGAGTTCTAGGGTTACAGGTGTGAGCCACCATGCCCAGTTTGAAAAACACTTGATAACACACACACACACACACACACACACACACACACACACACACTAATTTAGAGGCTAAAAATGAAACATTATTGAGATACTGTACTGGTGCCATACCAGTTTGTCCTAGTTGTGGAATATAGCTTCAGATTTTCAAATGTTTACCATATAAAGCAGTTTTGAATCCTAAAATGAAAAATGTTAACACAATATTCACTTAAATATTTTTGTTTTGTTCATTGGTAGTAAATATTACAATCAAATTAGATAGCAATGTTTGCTATATGATGCTGACCACTGATTTTGTGTTTCTAGAAAAATTTATGATATTCATTGAAAATCAAAATTTTAATTTATGACTGTTGAAATTCTATTTAGCAAGTGTGGTACACAATAGGCTAAGCCAATAGTCGCAAGAGTTTTAACGTTTAGAAAAAGTTCAAAATCATATTTAGGAACAGATATTAAATCATTTGATAACTACTGTTACTTTTTCTAAAAATTATTTTTAGACTAAAAATGTGAGAATCTTAAAACAAAAATATACTTTGCCAAGATAAGCATGGTAAATTTTACACTCCATCTCTCATTCCCCTAAAAACATGTAACTTTTTCCCTTTTTATTTATTTTCCCTCTTTCATTTCAGTGAAAACCAAATCAAAGTTTTACCATATTTCAACCAATCATTCTGGAATCCCTAGGCTATCTTCCATGTATACTTTGGGAAGCTCTAAGAATACAGTTTAAGAGCCATGGTAAAATCATAGTTTCTTTGTATTGCAGAATCTGAATTTACATATATTATGGCCTGGATAATACAAAGTACACTGAATTAGGAGTTAGAAGATCAGGTTTCCAGTTCTAGCTTTTCTACTGAGTGAAGTATGCAACTCTGTAAAGGTATTTTAATACTTTTGACTTCAGACTCATTTGTAAAATAAAATCTAGGACTTAAGCTCCATAAGTGAAAACCTATGATTAGAATAACATATTATTCTGCAAGTAAAAAGCTATTTCTTAATAAAGTTGTTCAAATTACTGTCTCCCCAAACTAAAAAATATTGGTAGCATAAGAGTTGCTTTAAAAAAGTTAAACAGCAACTCAAAAGTAATATTCAGTGTCAAAAATGTTAACAAATTTGACATCTGAAGATTAATTTTTTCTAACACCCCTCCCCCAATCTCCACTCCCTCCCGTAACTCCCACCCTGTGACTTATATCAGGAAATAAATATGACCATCAGGGATATTATAGTTCAATCACTGGTAAGATATGTCATCAAAACCTATCAAGCTGCTGTGGAAATATTTTTGGGATATGGCAGTATTTTCCTTCACTTCTGAAACAATTCTTTTTATAAGGATTGTATCCATGTGTCCTGGCTTTGATTCTTGACTTTGTCCTGTATTTATTTATTTATTTATTTATTTATTTATATTTATCTATTTATTTATTTATTTTAAAAGTAAAAGAAAGAAAACATATTAACAAACACACAACCATTTACAAAGTAGCACAAGAACAGTACAAGCAACACTGAACTACATACAAGGTGACAGGGAATTAACAACGGTTGTTGTATTAACATATTGATAACTTCAAAGTGGTTACTCAAGAAAACAAATACTGAGATGCAAGATTGATCAAATAATTAATCATTAACTGTTCCTTTTAATGGATATAAGTCAGTAAGTAGTATAACTATGTTAGTGACCCTGTATATACACATATATACATAATTTTCCCCTTCTTTTTTTTCTTTTCCCTCATCCCAGTTGCTCTTTTGTCCTGTATTTAAAGAAAAACACTTTCTCTTCTTTTTCCTTTCTTCTCAGCTCCTGATATTATGATCTAAAGCAAAAGCATTCAGTTTCCATAAATTCTAAGGTGTCACGAAAGACTTATGGTTTGATTTTACATGGAAATATGTCA